TCTTTACCCCCATGAAAATCATTTTATTTCACAGCTTCAACATTTCCCAAATACGTTGCAATAACCTCCCATCATCCTAATTTTGGCTTCTTCACAATGGAACTTCTTCCCTGTACAATCTGATTAGGATGCTTCCCTGTTTAGAACTCTTAAAGGATAGCTCAATATCTGCAGAATAAAATTTAGGTTCAAAAGTTGTGGTAAGATGTGCTCCATCAGCTGTCTCCCTTTCTCCTCTAGCCGTCAAGTTTTCTCTTTGTAAACCTGAACCCCCCTAATCTCCTTCTGCCCTACTCAATCTTCACTCCAGACCTTGCCCAGTCTTCACACTCTTGACTTTACTCATTCACATTCCAAACCTCGCTCTGGGAAGCATTTCTCGACCTGTCTGTTCTTCCCCCATACAACGTTAATTACCTCTTCTCTGTGTGTGATTTCATGACACTTGATAGCATATGGAGTGTTTTATTACAAAAGATGGCTGCCTGTGCTCTTACTAGACGGTGCATAGCTAGATGGCAAAGGCTGGGTGATATTCATGTTTTTTTCCTCAACACCTAACATAAAGCTATGTATTTAGCAGTAGCCCAAATGTTTTACAAAAATAATAGATGTGAATGAAATAATGAATTCAAACTATCCTATTGCTTTTATTTTTATTTATTTATTTGAAGGAGTTGCAGAAGGAAAGAGAGAGACAGAGAGAGAGAAATCTTTTATCTGCTGGTTCACTCCCCAGATGGTTGTAATGGCCTGAGCAGGGCCAGGCTAAATCCAGGATTCAGGAGCTTCTTCCAGGTCTCCCACATGGGTAGGAGGGGCCCAAGCATGTGGGCCACCTTCTGCTGCTTTCTAGGCTATTAGCAGAGGGCTGGATTGGAAGTGGAGCAGCTGGGATACGAACCAGCACCCATATGGGAATGCTGGTGTCCCAGGCAGTGACTTAACCCACTATGCCACAGCACCCATCCTTCCTGGTTTTTTTTAGCCAATGAATATCCTAACTTCTGACCATAGTATCAAGCCTTTTACAAAGCATGTCCCTGACCTATTCTAGAGGAGAACTGATGCTGCTTTCACAGAATGACACGGTAAACTCATAACCTCAAAGAAACCATTTAAGTAAATTCCATTAAAGTAAACCATTTAAGTAAATTAAGTAAAAATAGTCTAACCAGCTAACAGCTATGCTTGGAACTTTCTATAGTAAACTTAGAGTGTATTTTGTAAGAAATAAAATTCTGGGCCGGCGCCATGGCTCACTAAGCCAATCCTCCACCTGCTGTGCCAGCACCCCGGATTCTAGTCCCAGTTGGGGCGCCAGATTCTGTCCCGGTTGCTCCTCTTCCAGTCCAGCTCTCTGCTGTGGCCTGGGAAGGCAGTGGAGGATGGCCCAAGTGTTTGGGCCCTGCACCCGCATGGGAGACCAGGAGGAAGCACCTGGCTCCTGACTTCAGATCGGTGCAGTGCGCTGGCCGTACCAGCCATTGGGGGGGGGGGGGGGGGTGTGACCCAACGGAAGGAAGACCTTTCTCTCTGTCTCTCTCTCTCTCACTGTCCAACTCTGCCTGTCAAAAAATTTAAAAAAGAAATAAAATTCTTCATCTATAAAGAATGCTTACAGTTATGAAATTCTTCCATTTAAATTAATTTGATATTTTTAAGGAATTGTATTTGGCAAAACATTAATTTTGTAGAAAGTGAAACTGAACTTTAAATCGCATAAATAATTTTTCAAGGTCACAAAGGGAGGACTGAACCAGGATAAAATATATGAATTTGATATACCAGTTAATTTTTTTCTACTCATCACATTCACAGAAATATATATATATATATATATATATATATGGAAAGTACATAACAGCATGATCTTATTTTGTCACCTCCATATCTAAATATATGAAGAAATATTAAAATAGATTTGTTCTAGTTGTATACCTACCTACTAGAAAGTTCTAACAATGACAAAGGTAATTATGTTTCTTGTATACAATCCTTTCATTTTCAATTCTTGAACTTAGCACTAGTAAGATTTTTTTCTTGTGCCTTTTGTGGCTGTTTACCCCCAGAGCTGTCAAGGCTATCTCCTAATGTGAAGAAGAAATTCTTTATCTTAAAATAAATGTTATCTAAAAATAAATGCAGTACAGTGTAGCCACCCAAGTTCACCCTGTCCCTAGCAGTCTCAGATGAATATGCATCTCTCTGACATTCTAACAGAGCAAGGGGTGAGCTCCTTTCTGGAAAACTGACAGTTGCTCAGCTAAGAGAGGCAAGGGGAAAGGAGTAGTTCACTCTCCGAGTGATGTGTTTTAGGCCGACGGTCCTCTTCCATTGAGTTTAACCTCTCCAGACATCTCCTACAGAAGAAAGACTTTTCTCTGACAATATCCAAGTGCTAAAGAAAATATCTATACTGACAGGTAGTTTCCTAGTTTAAGGAAAAGCCCTGATGCTTGAATTTGCACATGATGGCAAGAACATTTGGATTTCTCAATATTAAAAGTAGTGTAAGAATTTTCTAGGTGGCACAGAATCTAGGTGGAACTGATATTTCACCTAAACCTTAGTAACCTAGAAGTGACTCCCAGTCAGTGATGAAGAAATCACACCCATACTCTTTGAATTGATTAATATTCATTCAGTCTATTCATTTATTCATTCCTGAAACAAAGTAAGCCTCTTCTATGTGTCAAACATTATGAAAGGCACAGATAAGATGTCTAGGATAAGATGAGCATTGGGATGAAAATGTCACGGAGAACTCTGAAAGATTCAATGCTCTCATTGATCCCTAAAAGAGAAAGAAAACTGGTCCAAGCCAAAGAACCAGTTTGTGATTAGAACCAAAATGAAGAGAGGGGAAGGCATTTGGCACAGGGGTTAAGTTGCCACCCAGAACTCTCACATCCCATATTGGAGTACCTGGTTTGAGTCCCTGCTCCTTCACTTTTGATGCAGTTTCCTGCTAATGTACACCCTGTGAGACAGCAGGTGGTGGCTCAAACACTTGGGTCCCTATCATCTACATGGGAGAACGGGGTTGAGCTTCTGGCTCTCCTGGCTTTGACCTGGCCCAGATGTTATTGGCATCTGGGGAATGAACCAATGGATGGAAAATCTCTCTCTCTCTCTCTCTCTCTCTCTCTCTCTCTCTCTCTCCCCCTCTCCCTCTCTCTCTCCTCTCTCTCTCTATCTCCCTCTCCCTTTCCCTCTCCCTCTCCTCTCTCTCTTCTCTCTGTTGAATAAAATGAAAATGCTCACATAATAGATACATATATAATTTTTTAAAAATGATTAAAGAGGGAAAAACATTGTGACATACTGGACAAAGCCACCACTTGCATGCCAGCATCCCACATGGGTGCTGGTTTGTGTCACAGTTGCACCACTTCCAATCCAGCTCCCTGTTAATGGCCTGGAAAAAATAGCGGAAGATGACCTGCATTCTTGGACTCCTGCTACCCATGTGGGAGGCCTGGAAGAAGCTTCTGGCTCCTGGTTTTGACCTGGCCCAGTCCTGTCTGTAGCAGCCACTTGGAGAGTGAACCAACGGATGGAAGATTCTCTCTCTCTCTCTCTCTCTCTCTCTCTCTCTCTTCCTCTCTCCCCACCCTGTAACTCTGATTTTCAAACAAATAAATAAACCTTTAAAAGTAATAATTAAAAAAATACTTGGCACATATACAAATAACTGCAAGAAATTTAGTAATACCAGAACTAATTTAGAATCAGCAAAAATGGAGAAAAGAAAATTGATTTAGGTACTGTAAAAGGGTGAAATCTAGAACAGGTGTGTAGCAAAGCTGTTACAACACTGCTTGGGGGGACTGAGCTAGCATTCTATATGGGCACCCATTTGAGACCTGGTTGCTTCACTTCCAATCCAGCTCCCTGCTAATGCGCCTGGGAGAGCAGCAGAGGATGGCTCTAGTGCTTGGGCCGCTGCATCCACATGGGAGACCCGGAAGAAGCTCTTGGTTCCTGGTTTCAGCCTGGAACAGCCCCAGCAATTGTGGCCATTTAGGGACTGAACCAGAGGATGGAAGATTCTCTCTCCCTCTCTCTCTCTCTCTTTCTCTGTCCTTTCTCCCCTCCCCCTCTTCCTTCCTCTCTCTCTATATAACTCTTTCAAATAAAATAAAAATAAATCTTAAAAAAAAAAAAGACACTGCTTGGAACATTTCCATCCCATATTGGAAGTGACCAGGTTCAAGTCCAAACTCCATTCCTGATTCCAGCTTCCTGTTAATGCACACCTGGGGTGGCAGCAGGCATTAACTCAAGGACTTGAATCCCTGCCACTCACAAAGGGCCCTGGATTTTATGCCTGCCTCCTAGCTTTAGCCTGGCCCAGCCCCAGCTATTGCAGGCATTGGGAGAGTGCACCAGTACTCAGAAGATCTCTCTCTCTGTTTCTGTCTCTCTGCCTTTCAAATAAATAAAAGTAAATACATTTTGAAAAAAAGATGGAGAGTCAAAAAGAATCAGTGATTTGCTGGCAGAAATCAGAGAAGCATGACATTTCCTTTTCTGATCTGGGTGACTGGCTGAATAATGGTGCCATTTCCTGCATGAACAAAAAACAGGGGGAGAAAGAGAAGGTGGAGAAGGAGGAAGAGGAGTGGGTAAGCCTGAGGAAGAAGAAATAAAGTTAGAGCTACCTATGAAATATGCAATGGGAATGTCAAAAAAGCACATTTTCAGAGAGATATTTGGACTGTATTTTAGTTTGGGGTTTACTAACATGGAAAGCATAAGTGGAAATTTTACTTTTGAATCTTTTAAAATTTTCTTCTGAAAATTTACTATATATATATATATAAATAGTTTAAATAGTCAAAATTTTTGACAATACAAATTCTTTTAACTCTGCGGCTCTTTCTTCTCTTCCTTGCCTCTGTATTTCTTACTAGCATGCTGGACAAGCATTCTTTGACTGTTCCCAGTCTTAGGTATTACATATTAATTTCCAGTTATGGAGGGCGAGGATTTACCTCTTTTCACCGTCTCCTTGATTGGAGTCTTCTTAACATAACTGCATCACAATTGTATCTGGAAAAATAATGTGTTTTTATTGCTCTAACTATGTAAATATTATGTACAGATAGGCAACCTGGTGTATTTCTTTTCTTATACAGGTTTGTTCTCTGAGGAGTTAATTACAGTCAATTTTCTTTAATATTTTCTTTATTTATATGAAGGGCAGAGTTACAGAGAGAGAGAAAGAGAGGGATCTTCCATCCACTGGTTCAATCCCCAAATGGTGGGAACTGCTAGGGCTGGGCCAGGCTGAAGCCAAGAGCCAGGAATTCCATCGGAGTGTCCCATGTGGGTTGCAGGGGCCCAAGCACAGAGAGCTTGATCAAAAGTGGAGCAGCTGGACTCAAACCAGCCTTTGGGAACTCGTACACAAACCCCATTTATTCTCCCTTCCCCACCCCTGCCACCGTGTTTCACGCAGAGTTCTCCACATGCTTTCAGGGCAAGAGTGAATGAAGGACATTGGAAGAGCAGGGGGACTGGAAACTCTGCATTTCAAAGGTCAGGTGCGATGATAACTCGCCTGAATGCAGAATTCCAGCTTGGCTGTTTCCTGGCATCCCCTGTATCCCCTGTCCTGTGGTGACTGGTGTCAACTGTGACTCCATTATTTGAGCAGTCGCTCCATACACACAACTCACCAGCTGAGGAGGATCAGTATCTTTTCCCTCTTTCCACACAGCACTCAGCCACGTGTACTCCTCCCAGCTTACATGATGTTGTCATCAGAGAACTGTGTCCTCTTTAACATATTATGACATCACTTGATTATGCTATACAGTCTAGGTATTTAAACTACCTGTATATTTTTTCCATTTTTCCTTGCTTCCAAGAAATAAAAAGTTAATAAAACATTTAATAAGCTCATTTATCAGCTTATTTTAAATAAAGATGAATAAATTAATAAAATGAACATATAAAAAGATATTTTAGACCTATATAATTAATAGAAGCTTACAATATAACTAAAATTAATATCTTACTATCTCATGGCTGACGCTGTGGTGTAGTGGATGGGCCGCTGCCTGCAATGCCGGCATCCCATATAGGCGCTGGTTCAAGTCCCAACTGCTGCACTTCCAATCCAGCTCTCTGCTGTGGCCTGGGAAAGCAGTGGAAGATGGTCCAAGTCCTTTGGCCCCTGCACCCCCATGGGAGACCCAGAGGAAGATCCTGACTGCTGGCTTCGGATCAGCTTAGCTCTGGCAGTTGCGACCATTTGGGGAGTGAACCAACGGATGGAAGACTCCCCTGTCTCTCTCTCTCTCTCTCTCTCTCTCTCTCTCCCTCTCTCCCTCCCTCCCTCTCTCTGCCTCTCTGTAACTCTGCCTTTCAAATATAGATATATATATATTATACATATATATATCTTACTATCTCAAGCTTATATAGTTAATGAACTTTTCATGTGCATAAAATTCATCTATTTAAATGAGTAGTAGAGAAGTTAAAAAGATAATTTTTCCATCACATCACCCTGTGCAAAATCAACTGATACTTTGCCATCTCTGCTTTCTCTGATGTTTGAAAATTTAGTCCTCACACTCAAGAAAAAAATATTAGTAAGCAATTACAAACTACCATCACTTAACAAAGAAACAACTCAGGTTCTGTTATATTTGATGGTGAATTATAAACATAAAATTGGGTAGTAAACATATGGGTTGTCCTTTAAAAATATAAAAGCTATAAATAGTGGACAGTAATTTTATCAATGTAGGAATTCTGGAAAATATCCGCCTCTAAGAAGAGGAGGGTATCTGTCATGAAAGACTAGGTTATGTTGCAGTAATGAGCACTTTCCAAATATCAACAAATTAGATTTACAAAGATTTACATTCTCACTCAATTTCCACGCAGCTCAGCTGGGGTCTCTCCACACATTCATTCTCCTTCTGGGGCACAGGGGAGTCTCCATCTGGAGTATTGTTGTCCCCTTAGGAAAGGGAGTGGATGAGGGAGGATGGGAGATGAGAGAGAGAATGAGAGAGAGAGAGAGAGAGAGAGAGAGAGGTAAATAACTGGCTTCAAAATTTTACCTCCCCCCACCACCAACAAAATATACAATGCCTCTCACATTTTCTTGATAAATTAAGCAAACTATATAGCCCCCATCCCATTCACAGCCTCAGAGAAATGTAATTCTCCCAAGAATTATGTTTTCAAGAGGAGAACTGGAAACACTTGGTGAGTGGCATTAATAAAACCCATAAGGAGCTATACAAAGAATGCAATGGAAAAATTAGAGTAAGAAATACAGAATTTTGAGATGGGTAAAAAGCTGGAGGAAATATTACCTTGGCTAAATAAATTTCGAAAAACCTATTCAGAAACATTGGAACAAAGCTGATAAGCATCTACATTCTCTCTTTAGTAAATTGATTCCTTATGGATCACTGTGAATCAAACTCTCATTTTTTTGGTAAGAAAAATGCAATAGACCATTCTCAACCTATGACAGTGCACTGTTTGAATAAGGAAACAAATTGATGATGATCTTACCTGCATACCAAGGGCAACCTCGCCATGTTTGAACATTGAGGAAAGTGATTTTATCCCAGTTTACCTGCATAGCACAATAACTAGAAAATATACCATTAAGAAATCCTCAATTAAAATTAAATCTACTGGTTTAATGAATGGAAATGCCTGACAATGTGAAACAGCATAAAGACTATTAAATGCATCATAAAGGAAATTATGATACAGTTATCTTCTTAGAACCTACATGTTGGGAAATTTTTTGTTATTATTATTAACATCTCATAGAGCTACATAGAGGTTGATTCACACTCAGAGAATACTGGGACAATTATAGATATAATTGTAATGATCCTTTTGTACACTAAGGGGCGCCAGGACCATATGTTTAACATGAAACTTCTCCATTGGGAGCACTTCTCTGCCAATATCTTATATCTCATTGTGGTACTTAAGAAATGGCATGACTATTTAGGAAATAATTCCACCAAACCAAGACTCATGGTAGTCCTTGGAGGGCCAACTGAATCATACTAAAGAAATGAATGTCTCATTCCTCTTATTAAAGGTATTAATATCACTTTTAAAACCTGTACATAAATTAACTTGCATAGCATCGTCTAGATTAAATCTCAATCAACTTGGACAAGAAATGCTGAGCCTATCTTTTGAAGACTAATGAGATAATGAAAATATTATTTTATTATCCTTATATGTCCAAGGCTTTATCTGGATTGAAGAGCCAATAGATCGGACAACATGATCTCATATATTTTCTCCACTCTGCTGAATATTGGTGTGCACGAAAAACCAGGTCCCAATTCACAAAGGAGTTTTTAAAGAGAAAAAGCAGGCATCACCTGAGAAAGATGAGGAGTTCTCACACCCTCCTGCCTCTCCACTAATCACCTACAATCCTCCTCCTTTCCAGGAAGCGCCTGGCTTGGAGACTCATCACAATGCTCCAGAGTTGAGGAAAAGATCCACTTACAATGACTCTGTCACTCCAAGCAAGGAAATAGGTCTTTATAAAGTCAAAGAATACATCCATAAAGAAAAACCATTTCGTCATAACTTCCACAGATTTCCAGAGCAATATTCTCTGTCACTCTAAACTCACAGTACCTCTGGGGCTCAGGTGGTAAAGTAAGGAAGCAGAACCTTATAGAGTTCAGGCAAAGCTCTCCCTGAGTCACACAGCCAGGAGGTGCTGCAGTCAGAATTTTAATTAAAATTTGTTTGATCACAAGTTCCTACACTTCTGATGTAATTAGCACATTAGTTGTTGCCAGATTGGTGCACAGAGAAGAATTTTTCTAATATGTCTGTATTTATAGTAGTAATAATCTTAGCTCATCCATCCTCCTTTAGATGTGGTACAGAAGTGCATTTCTACAGAGAAAACACAGTTTGATGTCATCTCTGCACATCTTCTAAAATTTAGATTTGTTCTGCATTTATATTATTCCTTTAAAGGAAGATAATATAAATTCCTTTGAAGTGGGTTATCCCTCATAGGGCCTGACCTATAGCTGTCACTTCACAACCCATAACTACCATCAAAATCTGTCAGTTTCGTAGGCTGGTCTGTCTATGGATGCCTATAGGAACAAGAAGTTAAGTAAGAATGCAGAAGACCCTCTCTTTTGAGTACTTGTCAAATCACTGGACCATTTTGTAAACTAAGTGAGACTAAATGTATTTGTATATGTACATATCAGTACACATAGTTTATTCATCAACAAATATTTATTAATTGTTTACACAGGTAAATGAAATCAGGAGATGAAGGTTTCAGCTGAGCATATGAAAAAAGGCAAAAAATAGAAAAGAGATTTGCATCTATTTGACACAGATAAGTCATTTTTATATTGCTAACATAGTCAGAGGTTAGAAAGGAAATTTTCTATACTTTATGCTTTTTTCATTCTTATAACCGATATGAGATTAATGATAAAATTCACGTCAATAGGAAGATTATGGCCAACCATGTCATTTCTGCTTCTTAGGTAGTAGGTATAAGAAGGACTCTGATTTTTAAAAGTATGAATCAAGATGCTCCTAAATCAGACCCCATCTATAGAATTATTTATAAGAGGTTGTTCTTGAACATTGATCATTCAAGAGAGTTTAGTAAAAGTGATTGAAATTCTCCTTGAGATAAAGACCAGTTAATCACTTAAGCAATTGCCTTAGTTTAAACATGATTTGGTTCCCTAGCTTTCGCTAAGTGCCAAAGTTGTGAATTGATGGTTGGAGGCTTGAGAGGCTTGATCCAATTGTGGTGTCTAGGAGGTGAGCCTATTGGAAGGTCTTTAGGTCCTGGCAAATCATGGCTTAGAAGCTGGTTCTCGTGAGAGGATGGTGATAGAAGCCTGAGCCTCAACCCAGCTTCTCTCTCTCTCTCTCTCTCTCTCTCTCTCTGCTTCCTGGCTCACCATGAGGTCCTTCCTCCTCATGGGCTCCAACGTGCCATCTGCCACCAACAGAGTCTGCCCAGTCTTGGGCTGTGAGCTAAAATAAACCCCTTTCCTGAATAAACAGCACATCCTGGGTATTTAGTTATAGTAATGGAGCTAAGACGGCAGTTAATACGAAACTAAATATGTATGTGCATGTCTTCCTGGTTATAGATAAACACAAATATATATCATAGTGTAGGTTTAGTGTTAACTTCTGCCAGCTTTCTTTTTCACCAAGGAGTCAGTGAAAGCACACAGCCTGCATGCTATTCCTACTCATATTGCGATCTTCTTTAATCTTTCAGCTCTGCACCACCTACTGGCCTCTTTCAAGTCGCACAGGGACCAGATCCTACCCTGTCTCCATCAGAACAGTGACTGTTCTACAGTCAGGTGCAGAGGCAGGTGTTTGCAGACTAGACTTTGCACACAGAATCTTGGTCGGTCTTATCTCTAGCTATGCATAGGTTTCTGAGCTGCTAAAATTAGTACGTTTTCACTCCTTAGCTATGGACTGCAAGCTTTCCACAGTTATTTACTATGAAGGTAATCATAATACTCTTCATGTAGTTTTCAGCATTGCACACACTTTCTTCTGGCCTGCCCACTATGGAATTCGAGTGTTGTGCACAATGGTGGGTTTTTAGTGGGAAAACAGAAGCTCTGGACATATATCAGTTGTTGGTTATATAACTTGTTTTATGTTCTAGGCATAAGTAGTATAAGAACATAGATTCATTTTACCTAACAACCCAAAAGAGCTGAGGGAGGTGCAGAGAAATAAAGAAATGAAGGTCTACACGGAGCCAGATTTTCTAAGAAGCTACGGAAATCTGATTGGTGGGAAAAATCTCCCGAGTCCAAGCGGCCATATGGGTCCAACCCTGATATCCTGAGGTGTCACATTTACAAGGACTTTGCTGCAAGAGAGCAAGAGGAGATTCTGTGGCTTTCCCAAAGCCACAGAGCCAGTAACTGGCAGAGGTGGACTTTGAACCCAACAGTTTCTCTCCAAAATCCAAACCTTAACACGGGAAGAGCACCATGTTTCCTAGGAACTATTGAATTCCATGATATTTGCCCAAAATCCTAAGCCCAAGTCTCACTGCCCAGTTTCCCAAATGCCTCTTTACTTGTTGATTCCTGTGCATACTTTATTCCCCCCACCCAAACTGTAGTCACAAGTCTTGAAACATAATGAATACTCGATGATGGAGATAGGGATTATATTGCCCTACAGTAGAAAATTTCATTATTCTTATTAAAAATCTGTGGAAAATATGTGCCGCATTGACTTTGCATATCAACACTGCCCCATAAGCAGTTCCATGCACTCTCTAGGGTTTGTGCCAATCTAGCAAACAACCAGCCAGAGAGAGACACCTCTTCCCTCTGTACCAAGTTACACTTGCTGGGGTTTCACAAAATGTTTTGAACTCTATAGAAAAAAAAAAGCAGATGTTTGAGTAGACATTTATTTTTATAACACTTAATATGTGATTTATTTTAAATTCCTGTATTCTAACTGGCCTTTGGTGATAAATAAAAATCTGCACAGAAACAAGGTTTTCAATAGGTTATTGGGATTGAATTGGTGAAACATTGTCCTGGGTAGAAATGGCACAGTCGGGGTCAACATTGTGGCGCAGAATAAGCTGCTGCCTGTGATGTCAACATCCCATAAGAGCACAGGTTTGGGTCCTGGTTGCTCCACTTTCTATCCAGCTCCCTGCTAATGTACCTGAAAAAGTAGCAGAAGATGGGCCGAATACTTGACCCTTGCACCCACATGGGAGACCAGGATGGAGTTCCCTGGCTTGTAGCTTCTGGCTTCTGGAAGCTTCAGCCTAGCCAGCATGGACTGTTGTTGCCATTTGGAGCTTTAACCAGTGGATAGAAGATTCTCTCTCTCTCTCTCTCTCTCTCTCTCTCTTCCTGTCTATACTTCTCTCTGTGTAGCTCTTCCTTTCAAATAGATAAATAAATCTCTAGAAAGAAAGAAACAAAGAAAGGACACAGGCAGATGATGGGAAATTATTCAGTAAGAGAACTTATGTGGTTCATCAGGGTTAATATTTGCAAAGACTACACTGATGTGTGTGGTCTACCATCTCCAAAACCAGACCTTGATAATTTCTACTCAAGAGCAAAGACTGGGCTGGCGCCACAGCTCAATAAACTAATCCTCCACCTAGCGGCGCCGGCACACAGGGTTCTAGTCCCGGTTGGGGTGCCAGATTCTGTCCCGGTTGCCCCTCTTCCAGACCAGCTCTCTGCTGTGGCCAGGGAGTGCAGTGGAGGATAGCTCAAGTGCTTGGGCCCTGCACCCCATGGGAGACCAGGAGAAGCACCTGGCTCCTGCCTTCCGATCAGCGCAGTGCGCCAGCCGTGGCGGCCATTGGAGGGTGAACCAACGGCAAAAGGAAGACCTTCTTTCTGTTTTTCTCCCTATCCACTCTGCCTGTCAAAAAAAAAAAAAAAAAAAAAGAGCAAATACTGGAGAATTGGGGGGGGGGGGGAGGATGTTCTTTTTCTTCCAAGATAACGATTTGAAGGCCTGGGTTTGGGGTGAAGTGACTAGCTAAACAAATTGGAAAACCCAGCACGATGGATTCTTCCATGGCTCTCTCCCAACACTTCCCACTCCAAGTCTCTGTGGTGGTGGAGCTTCTTCCAGGAGAAGGACATTCCCACTTTCTGTCATCTGGATTCCAACTGGGAATAGAAACAGTAAATTACCTGAAGGAAAGAAAAGGCAAGAGGACTTACTGCCTCCTGAGGCTCGGGAAGAGGGTTGTAGATGCTCTTGTCCCTGAAGTTATGAGAAATGACAACAGACTCCAACGAGGTTAGCAGGTCTCCCCTGCGTGGCTGAGAAGTTCCTGCACATAACCTCTGCCCACAGGCCAGAACAGAGACCCAGGAGTCCACTCTGCAAGCTGTGAGGTGACCACGTTCTCAAGGTCAAGGCCTTGTGGAAAAGGTCGGCATCCTGGAGAGTCCCACACATCACTGAAACACCTGCAAGCTGCATTAGTGTGGCCCCCTGAAGTCACAAGGCAAGGCTGCGAGTGACAGCTGAGATGCTGAGCACAATCCAGGCTGTGTCACAGGACTGGTGGGACCTAGAGGCCTCCTGGGGCTTCAGTAACAGTGGAATGAAAAATACTGGCTCCTGGGGCCGGCGTTGTGGCCAGTGGGTTAAGCCACCACCTGAGATGACGTCACTGCAAGTGGCAGCTCTACCCGCTATGCCACAGAGCCAGCCCCCTTTCATACCTTCTTCTTTTTTTTTTTTTTTTTTTTTTTTTTGACAGGCAGAGTGGACAGTAAGAGAGAGAGACAGAGAGAAAGGTCTTCGTTGGTTCACCCTCCAATGGCCGCCGTGGCCGGCGCGCTGCAGCCAAAGGCAGGAGCCAGGTGCTTCTCCTGGTCTCCCATGGGGTGCAGGGCCCAAGCACTTGGGCCATCCTCCACTGCACTCCCGGGCCATAGCAGAGAGCTGGCCTGGAAGAGGGGCAACTGGGACAGAATCCGGCGCCCCGACCGGGACTAGAACCCAGTGTGCCGGAGCCGCAAGGCAGAGGATTAGCCTATTGAGCCACGGCGCCAGCCTCGTGCCTTCTTAATTTTGCTTCTTTCTAATTGTTTGATTCCATTGTTTGGGTACTCAATTATTTAAATGTTGTTTCCTTGTAAAAAAAAAAAAAGATTTATTGATTTATTTATTTGAGAGGTAGAATTACAGACACAGTGAGGCAGCGACAGAGAGAAAGGTCTTCCATCTGCTGGTTCACTCTCCAAATGACTGCAAAGGCCATAGCTGAGCTGATCAGAAGCCAGGAGCCAGGAGCTTCTTCCAGGTCTCCCACGTGGGTACAGGTGCCCAAACACTTGGGCCATCTTCCACTGTCTTCCCAAGCCATCAGTAGAGAGCTGGATCAGAAGTGGAGCAGCTGGGACATGAACCTGCACCCGCATGGGATAGCAGTGCTACAGGTGGAGGCTTAGCCTACTAGGCCACAGCACCAGAAATTCTTAAAATGTTTCTATCAAATAAAAGTTTTGAATTCCATAACAGCAGACAATAGCTGCATATTTTTACAGTCTAACATATCATGGGTATAAGTGGTTTCTGAATCATAGTAAGGATTAAAAAAATTCAAACTGTTCAGGCTATGATACAATTTTCCTAGTGTGTTATAGAATGGATAAAAGGGAGGGTATAACAAGGAAAGTGTATCAGAGGTCTTACTCTGAAAGTTAATTGAGTTTTTAATGAAAGCTGATATGGATGTAGATAACCTTCAAATGGCAAGGAAGGCAGAAGATGGAACAGTTCCCTTTTTACAAATCAAAAGTTCCATCCCAGGAAGGTTCCAACAGAACTCAACATCCATGAAACATTGACATGGACTCTGATCAATTATTCATCTGGAAAAACTCCTAGGAGAAATCAACAAAAATCAAATTGCAAACACATAGAAGAAAAGGGTCTGAGGCCAAGAATAATCCATACTTATCCTGTCAAAATTGTCTGATTTCCACCTAGGAGATAAAATTGAATCTGATTAAGGTGAGGTTTGAAATCCACCACAATACTTTAGCTTTTTTTTTTTAATCTTTCTAGTCATTGTCTTCTAAATTTCTTTCCTTTTGTTTTCTGCATACAAAATACTCCATACTACTCCAAAATGTTTATTCTAATTTTAAGTAAAATACATGAAAACACATGTTAAATAAATTAGATTTCAGAGGAGATGAATGACTGCCTCTCCTGAGTGGGCTCTAATTGGCTGAATTTGAAAACTACGCACGGTCTGATCCCTTGAGCTGTTTTTGTTCCTCATCTAGTACCGTTGCTCTTAAGAACTAAAAATAACCTGACTACTTTAGCAGTG